GGCCTATTGTAAGTAAAGACAAATATTCAGTTCTATGCCGTGTTGTCTTGAAAGTGAAAGCATTATTCAGTTCAACTTATTTGTGTGAATCTTCATTTTCCAATATGAAGTTTATTAAGAACAAATATCGCAATCGACTTACAGATGAACATTTGGATAATTGTATTCGAATGGCTGTATCAAATTATACTGCAAACATTAAAAAAATTATCGATGAGTCGTCAGCCTTCTCATTGAACGTGCTTATGTTTATGTTCATGATAGTGCGTTACTTTTTTGTTGTTATTATTAACTATTTTTAAATCTTACGTGACATGCCGTTGTGGCTGGATAAAATTTTGTGTTTATTTTTCAAACACCTTCGTTTGGTAGGTAGGAATGTAGCTATGAACAAGTACGTACTAGTAATATTAGTTATTTTGTTATTAGTTTATTATTAGTACCTATGTATTATGTATTACCAGTTAAATAGTAAAATAAATACATATAATGATAAATTAACCGTGGATTATTTCATTTACGTTGCGTTACGTGGCTTCCGTGTGGGTAGCTCGCTGTTTATTCTAAAATTATCAAAGTAGCTCAACGCATTGAGAGGTTGGCGACCACTGACTTAGTTTCTATTTTTTTAAGGTATTTTATGTATTTTATCATCTTTACTAGCACCTAATTTAATATTATCTCCTTTTTTTTTAGTCTAGCTTGAAAATGACGATCCTTCAGTACCACTCTTCATCTTTTGACGAACTCCTTAAAGATATTTCCAACAAATTTTGGCCGTACAATCTACTACCAGAGTGTACTAAGAAACTAAGAAGCAGCTATCGTTCCAGAGTAGCAGCAATGTGCTTACTATCCTTCTCTGGAGTGCTATTCTCCATTGGAAGTCTAATAGCACCGATGTTCAATGCAAAAAATAACAGAGAACTACCGTATAAATGTTTGTATAGTTTCGATATCACCATCAGTCCTTTATATGAAATTAATTATATCATTCATTGCATTTTGATTGGTTATATCATTAATTGCGCCGTGCTTGGGTTTGATTATTTATTTATGGGAGTTGGAGAGAATCTGATAAGCCAGTACATACTTTTGGGGAGGAGTATTGAAAAATTTGGTACCGACAACTCTAGGTACTTGAACATCAAAATTCAGAAACTTGATGGTGTGGTAAATGTTAGAACTGATGATGAGGATGCGGTATTTCTAACAAATTTTATTAAGCAGCATCAAATTATTATAAAGTAAGTTTACTATTACTTTGAATGTTGATAAATAGCATTAAATAAGTTTTTGCATCTTTAAATATACATTTTTGTACTGGTACATTTTTTGTTCTATAGTAGCCATTTTTTTATCTAGGAAAGATTACCTGATGATATCTTTCTTTATTACTTTATCTGCTTCAACGATTTACTCATCTTTGTCCAAATTTCCATCAAATTGTATATCCCAAATTCCTTGATTCCATCACTTACACCTAGTTACTACCTTTTAAGTTCTGACACCAATTTCTGCTTCTATAAAGTCCACGAAAGACATTTGCATAGGTTTAAAGATATAATGCTGTAGGTTTTTAATTGTGCCTATCGTGAAGAACAACATCAATATCAAATATATTTCTAGGGCTACGAAAATAGTAGAGAACAGTTTCAATTTAATAGCAGCTTTGCAATTATGCAGCAGCGTTGTTGCCATATGTGTTTCTGGATTCATTTCTACAAGAGTAAGTTTTGGCGAAAACCAATTTTTATTAGATCACCCGTTAGATTTTTGATTAATAAATAACTATTGTTTCAGGAAAATGTTAGTATGGCACAAATTTGTATAATGGGCTCTTATTTGATTGGTCATTTAATACAATTAAACTTCTATTGTGCTGTTGGAAACGAATTGTTGTACGAAGTAAGTTTATTATCCAATGTTGGGAGAAATTTTAATTGTTTTTTGTTCTATTTCGACTAATAGGGGAACCATTGAGTTATAAACTGACTAGATAAATAAACAATCATCAACCAGTTTTTTTATATTTGTGAAAATGTAGCATTTCATAGATAAGTACTAGTTTTTTGTTTTGTCATGCTGGGTAATAATTGAATATTCCTTTAATATTTGTCTTAGGTTATTTACACATTTTTATAGCTGTCACCTGCACAAAAAAAGATTATGAGCCTCCACTGGAGTCATAAATTCCAAAACGGAATGTTTTGATAAACACTTGTTATTGGCAAAAAATTAACTTTTTTCTTTTTTGACTTTTATTGACAACTTATATAAAATTATATCTGACAACATTATTTTTACATACTATGATAAACAAAAAGAAGTTTATATTAAATACTAAGCGCCAAACACTTTTGACTACAACATCCTCCCTCCTGGCCTCATAAAAACCAACATGGAAGCTAACTTGACCACAGTAAAATAATTTTGGTGACGGGTCTCCGATAAACCCCTGGGTATCTATTCTTGAATCTCAGGAAGTAGAAATTTTGAGGGAAGAATGAGATAAAAATACAAATTTTGCGCGTTGCAGATAAAGAGGCAAAACCGGTTTTCTATTCCCTCGAATTTAAGAATAGCTACCCTGTTGGTATTTATACGTCGATCATTCTGACGTTTCCGTCTCGACCTGGATATGTTTTCATTATTTTTCCTCTTGGCCATGAATTTCTGGGAAAGTTTTCGTCAGCCAATATAACCACATCTCCTTCTGAAACCTTACTGGTTGAATTTTCCCATTTGCTCCTTTTTATGAGATTTGGCATATATTCCTTAAGCCATCTCTTCCAAAATTGATCGCAAACCTTTGAGCAATACACCACTGCTTTCTTAGGTAAGGATCTGTGTCACAGAAAGTTCCTAGAGGACTGACTTCATGGGATCTACCAATGAAAAAATGGTTTGGTGTTAGGGCTTCATAGTCGTTGTGGTCTGATGAAACATGTAAGTGGATGGGTATTTACGGTATACTCTACTTCCACAAGTAGTCAGTAGCATCTCTTCTTTAGGATATTGTTCAGTCAAAATTGTTTTGAGAGCATCTTTTACAGATCTTATCAAGAATAGGAAAATGCTTGGCATCGCTGTTAATTAGGTTTTGTTCCCAAAACTCCAGCTTTTTGATAAATGCTTTTATATCAGAAATCATTTCCGCTAGTTCTTTGCCTCTCCCCTGAAGCTGCAAGTTAAGTTCGTTTAATTTCTCTGTAATGTCCACGAGAAAACCAAAATCTCTAAGCCAGATTGAATTTTCTAGTTCCGGAGTCGGTTCATCGCGTTGTTTGAAAAATTGAACTATGCCAGATAGGATATCATTAAAACGTTTCAGCACCCGTCCTCTACTTAACCATCGGACTTCAGAGTGAAGGAGTAGGTCCCCGTATTGACAGTCAACTTCATCGGCCAAGGTTTTGAATAATCTTCTTTGTAACGCTTGAGCTCTAATCTTGTTCATAATTTTTACCATAACGTTGTTTAGTTTCAGGAAATTTCCACATAATGCTTGCTGATGGATCATGCAGTGGTAACAGAGAAATTGCGGAAAAGTTTCATCTTTACGACATAACGCCACCAGACCCTTATCACAACCCACCATAGCTGGAGCGCCATCGGTTGTCAAGCCTACCATTTTCGATATTGGAATTTTCTCGGAAGAAATATTTTTTAAATGAGAAAACAACTCCTGTCCAGTAGTGTGTCCTTTCAGTGGAATAAACTTCAAAAGATCTTTTTATTCGTAAACTCACTAAAAACCATCCTGACGAACACGGCCATCTGGGCAGTGTCAACGACATCTGTTGATTCATCCAGTTGAAGTGAAAAATAAACACAGTTATCTAAGTCAGTTCTTAACTGTAAAAAAATATCATTGCTCATTACTTCTACACGTCTCATCACTGTATTAGCAGAAAGTTTCATAGATTTTATAGCTGAAACTATCTCGTCTTTATTTCTAAAGCTGGCAAATAACGAATCAGCAGCTTCTAAAAACGCCTGTTTTATCATTTCCCCGTCTTCATAAGGTTTCTTTTTGTGTGCAATTATCTGGGACACACGGTACGATGCTTCAGTTGCAGCCTTATTTTTGTCGACTGTTCTTAAAAATATTGATTGTTGTCCAATTAACTGCTTTTTTAACTGTTTCAGTTTCTCCTTTCTGGCGGCAGAATGTAGTGGGAATGATTTTTCAAAATTAGAATTAGCAACGGAGACCGAAGTATTACATAACAAACATACATTTTTATCTTTAACTTCTGTAAAAAAGTATTGTTCTTCCCATTCCGAATGAAAGTGGTATGTCTTTACCTTCTTACAACTGCTTGCCATAATATTATTTTTTGTTGTTCTCTACTAACCCAACCGCTGGACGTTGGTTACGCGTTCAGTTTTAAACTAAGCGCAATGTCGCCGCGCCGTGCGTATTTATCCCGTTCAAAGCAATCCTGATCGTTCTCGAACACTAACGCGCTGGTCCGGCTGGTCGGTTCTAGCCGATTCTAGCTTGATGGCGTCAGCGGCAGATCACTCACCGCAACGTTGCCGCTGTTTATGTTTAATATTATGACAATTAGATTTTTTTGTGAAATTTTCGGAAGCTTCTCCGATTTTTGCAGTTTGTATTTTTTAAATTAAAATCGTTGTGAGAGCTACCAGTAGCTCGCGATCGACAGGTTGGCAACCACTGTTCTAGCTTGAATTGTAAAGGCAGCGAGGAAACCAAGTGGGTCATAGATGGACATTACGACTCTTATGACTTGTATTTTCGTAGGTATAGTGGTATCTGATAACAAGTCTTTGTTTTTGATTAAAAATCTGTCAGAAAAACTAAATGAATACTCCTTTGGATTCCAGTTTAAATCTAGCGTCTTCTCCAATGTTGGCCATTTTTCTATGTCTAAATCGACAATACTCTTAGATCGTAGTTCAGCCGTAATGTGCTCCATAACTATGGGAGAATTACTAAGCCAGCTTCTCATTTTAAACCCTCCACGGTTATGAATATTAATTACTTCATTAACTGTTTTTTTAGCGGCAGAAGCTTGAGGGTATTCTTTTGCATATTTTTTGGCGTTTTTGTTAATAACGTAAATTGCGCAGCTTGGAGAACAAATTGCACCGAAAATCATAACTTGCATTTGGTAAGTAAGCACAGGATCTTTTTTATCTCTTTCCCTCCACAGAAATCGTTGAGCAAATTGATCTTCTGGTATTATTTGTACTTGGAGAAACATTTCCTCGATATTATCCAAGACAGTTAGTGGATTTTGGCGACAATTGAATAAAATATCTATTAAAGAATTTAACAAATCAGGACATCTGAAGAAATTTTGATTTAAATAAGATAGACCAAAAAATTAACTTTTTTCTTTTTTGACTTTTATTGACAACTTATATAAAATTATAGCTGACAACATTATTTTTACATACTATGATAAAAAAAAGGTTATATTAAATACTAAGCGCCCAAACACTTTTGACTACAACACCGACCATAATAATAATAATATTTATAAACTAAAAATGATTATTAAGCAAAAATAATCTAATTATAACATAAAAGAATCTATTATGTTCACAATATATAACTCTGGTTCCTTATTTTTTAATTCCACAATATAGTAGAAAAAGTGTAGATTTATATAATACCCATAAAAAAATATTTATACTCATAATTTCTCGAATTAAATTTCTTTTTCAGTCGAACAATTTAACCCACCGTATATTCGCTAGCAAATGGTACGATATTAAAAGTATCAAATTGAAAAGGAATATCGTTTTCGTGATAAAAAATGCCCAAGTTCCCGCAAAAATTACCGCCTTCAAGGTCTTCGCTTTGGATTATTCCACCTACATCAAGGTACGTGGTCGGAATAAATTTTATTTTTATTATATATTCAATTTTGATGCGAGAATGATGTGAGAATAACAGTAAGAATTGTAAATTGATGTTATTTTGATTTGCGTGAATGTTTTCAAATAGAAGAATCTGATTTGGGAGTATAAGAAATAAAATAGCTAAATATGATAAGGATCTTTGCTTTTGGAATATATTTAATTTCTAAGTAAATATTATATATTTTTTACTTTTATTGTAACGTTATAAATGTGAAAAAGGATCTAAAGATGGCGAAGCTTATTTTTTTTTATAAAAAAAGGTTTGAAAAATTATTTATAACCGATTATAGTGTCTTAAAGATTGAAAAATTTCGACTTACATTATAACATGTTTTTTAAATTGTATCATTTTGCCAAATACGAGAAGACGCTTTGATATATTTTAAAAAATGTCACATTGATGTTATAAAGATTTGAGTGAATGTTTTCAAATATTTAAAATAATCAGATCGGAAGTTTAGCAAATAAAATCATAAAATAAGATTAAGATCTTTGATTTAAAATATATTTAACTTCTTAGAAAGATATTATACATTTTCGACTATTATTATAATATAAATTTGAAGAAGTATCTGAAAAATACAGAGACGTAGTCCAAAATTTACTTTAATGAGCTTTTAAGGAAATTGCCGCAATTAATTTAGACCTTTTAAGTGGCATTTAAGTGGCATTTAATATATGACCTATTTGAAGAAAAATTATTTTCATTATTACTTTATTTCATCGTAAAAATTCTCATATTTTGAGAATTATTTTTAAACGATTCCTTACTGTTACAGACACCAAAAACATTTATTGAACAGAAATATGTATCTATTATCTGCAGGAATTTTTTCAGTTTTCTTCTTTTTGTAGTTTTGGCTAAAAAGTCACTGAAAGAACGTTGTGTATGCCTATGTTAAATATATTACCCACGCCCAGTCTTAATAAGCACTGATGATGGCCAAAGGCAACTTTTTCGTTGACAATAATCTATAAGCTACTTGTACAGAGTCTCAAGTTTCTCTAGTTCATTTGAATTTTTTTAACGAATTAATGAAAAAGAACTATAGTCATTTAAAGAAGCCTAGCTTTGTAATACGTACGTACGCCAATGATATAGGAATTAGAAAACCTTATAATCCTCCACCAAAATTTAAAAAGTACCGTACAACGAAAGCATTTTATGCGCATCCACCAAAATATAAAAAATACCGCATCATAAAAAGCATTTATGCGCATCCACCAAAATTTAAAAAGGTACTCTATTACGTAAACATTTTAAGCGCATCCACCAAAAATTAAAACATCGTGTACCACAAACAGCAACCAGCAAATAAATATTTAGTATTGTAGAAAAAATAACAAATATTTTAACGAAATCCATCGCTAATAGGTACTAATTACACGGTTTTCTTTTTCTTCTTCTTTACTTACAAAATATTTAATTGTGCAATTTTTAGAACCAATAATAACATTTCAGGTACTTCGACTGTCTTTTTCATTCTACACACTTTTGTCGTCGATGGTTGAAGTGAAAAATTAACGAATTAAATAACAAGAACCTTCTAGATAGACAAATAATAAGCAATGCATAATGGTAAAATCTTTACATTTATCATTTTTTCTAAAAAAAAAAAATAATCGGTTAAAAATATAACTAATAAATTTAAATTAAATAAAAACAACACATAAGTGACATATCTGCAGCTTAATTTTAAAACCTTGTAAACCAGTTTTGAAAAATTTTACTAGAAAGCTTAAAAATCATCCAATTTCGGAAAATTACAACAATTTTATCAAAAATAATATATTACTTATTATTAGAAGGTTTTTAGGCACTTCTATAAAAATGATCAAAACTAAAATTTATTTTGAGTTATTTTAAATTTTAATTTATTTCTATAGGGTCACATTTGAGTTTGATCTTTTTTCATTTTATTAAAAGAAATACTTTATTCATACTCTATTCTATAGTGTAATTTTATTTGTTATGTATTATTTGTGTTATTTTTACTTTTTTTAATTAAAAAAAAATTTATCTACGCCACTGACAGTAATAACAATAAAACTAACCTACTATTTATGTACCAAATTTGATTTATTTACTAGAAAAGTCAATATAAATCGTATTACCCAATATTTGTTCAAATAAATGTGTCTTCTGTTACTGAGAAAAGAAATAAACATATTAATCTTCAGAGAAGTAATTGAAAATAAAAAACCTCCCCCATTTAATCAATTTTTAACCAGCAGTCAGTCACTGATGCCATCTGCAAGAATCGAATAGAATTAATTTAATGTTTTATTTGTTTTGTTTTAGGTTTTGCAATTTAGAAACCGTAGAAGACGTTATAAATAATATAATTATTTAAATATGTAGACAATTCACGTTAATTTAAAATATAGCAAATGTTTAACTGTGTATTTTTTGTTTTTTACTAATGATCTCATATCAAGGAACTTCATTTACACATTGTTTTACTCTTTAGTTTAATTTTTTCTAAGATTACATTAGAAATTTTGCTCTTACCATTACATTTAAATTCTTTTGCATGAAAAAATACTAATTTTCCATATTTGAACAAGAAAAACCATTGAGTTATAAATAAATAACCAAACAACCAACCAAACAATCAAACAATCAAACAACCAAACAACAAAAATACATTATATTTGTTTTCTGCATTTATTTTTTTATTATTATTTTTCTTTCACAACAGTAGTCTTTGATGAGTATTATAGGTTTACTTTCAAGAAACAAACGTTTTTAATATTGGTCCAAATTTAAAAAAACACGATAAGTCGAAAACTAAAAATTATATCAACTTGAAAATTTCAGGAAAATCAAGCTCTATAAGGGGAAAATCTTAATCCAAATGTGGAGATTCAGGGAATTTAAGTATTTAAAAAAAAATTAATTCAAAAACAAAAATGATATTAAATTGAAATTTTTAGCAAAAATTAAGCTTTATAAGGGCAACAATTGCTTTGATTCGATAATTTTTGAAACAAAAAAAAAATAATATTAGGATGAAACCCATTGGAAAAGGAAGAGAATATAACAAAAATGAGAGGAAAAATAATTTACAGGCGATCTGATATAGGGAAGTGGAAGGGGGTGAGTTTTTAAGGGTAACAAACTGTTTATCTCGATTTCCAGCAAAACTACAAGTCCTATGCAAAAAAGTTAAATGGCAAAGTTGTAGGTAATAAAAATATTTACAAATTTTGTATTTGCACTTTTTTCACATAACCTCAAAATCTATGTGAAAAATTCAACTAACCAAGTTTTTGGTTTTTTATTTTTCTTCTACAAAAAAAAATTATGAAATTTGGTGAAAATTTACCTTTTTATGTCCCAAACACACTAATTTTTTTGATTTAAAATATTTATTTTTTTCACCTCATTTTGACTTAATATCGAAAAAGCACCCTAATTTTCAATCAAAAATTCTCACGTCAAAATATCTGCTTTTTAAAAAGGCTTTGAGTGCGGCGACCGATTCAAGAAATTCCGTAACGACCATAACGAAAAGAAACCTAACACCCCCCACTCCGACCGGCACAGCGGTGCGGCGTTGAAAGCCGTGCATCGTCTAACGTCGTTTCAGTTCGGCAGACTTCGGCACGGTGTTTGTGTGCGTGCGACTAGACGTATGCGTGTAGACTAGCTGCTGATTCTATTTCTTTTAGACACAATTTCGAAAAAATTGAATTTGAAAATGAATAATAATCCACAAGAATCCACAACAAAATATGGGACCACCGTTGACGCGGTATTTTCCAGATATTTAGAGGATATCAAGTCTCAAACTTGTTTCTTATTTCAGTTATCATAAACCTATAGTTTCAATGATAAAAATGTATTCAACAAAAGAAAAAAAATTGTTTTCTTATCGGTCACCACGCTCAAAAAGTGTAACTTGAATTAATATCAAAGAAAAAAATACTGCATAAATAAAATAAATAAATAATTATAATTGCATAAGTAGATAAAAACTGCTATGCAATAGCTTTACCGCGGCAGTCCCCGAGTGCCACAAGTATTTTTTTTCCATTGAAATCTCTACTTTACGATGGTGTCAAAAAACATATTACTATGGTAAATGTTCTCAAAAAATGCTAAGAAACGAAACAAACTCGAATCCGAAAATTTGTATGTACAATTTTGTGCTAATTATTAAAATTTACACTAATTTTGTCAACGTTCCTTATGTGAATTGAAAAGTCAACGACTATTATTCTTAGAAACTGTTATCGCGTATCTTATTTCATTATTCTGGTTTAAACATTTTGATGTGAATTACTTACTTGTTAATTAGATCTCTTGGAAGTTAGATGTATTGTTAGATGAAATAAATCTTGTAAAATTTTAAAATATTTTTTTTAAAAAACGAATTTTGAGATCAGAAAATATTTGTCACTTTAATTTCTCGAAAAACGTAAGATTCCCTTCGAGCATATATTTACTAGAGCAATCGTTCAAATGGACTTTGTTTTGGTACAAGGGGGGGGGGAAATAGTGTCCAGCATTCCCATTAGTCTGTTTCGTTTTGCTTGGCATGTCAAATCGTTCAAAATTGACAGAACTGTCATTTGATTTTTGATTTTCATTAATTTCTAGCTTATTTTTGTAGTTTATAAGTGATTTTTTGTATTTTATTACTTTACTGATACAAATTTTAACAATGGTGAGAGTTTGTGTAAGTTGTAAATAGAAATAAGAAAAGGCATCGTCAAGGGCATTTCACAGGTTAGTAACCATTAGCGTTTCTACCATTTTTTTAAAAGAAACACTACCTACATTTTATGAAAAAGGCCGTTAAACATAAATTTGAAATAAATGGTAAATTTAGTGAATTAAATTTAAAGAACTTGTAATGTGTATAAGTAATATTGTTTTTGATTTTGGACTCTACTGAAAAGTTAAAAAAAAAATCATAATTTTTCAATATAAACAAGCTTTTTTTGAATGCATAACAAATGTGTTTGTACCATGGCTAGATGAGACCTATTATTGTTTATTGACGGTCATGTGTCGCACATGACATTACATCTATCAAAGTTTTGTTCAAAAAACGGAATAGAACTTTTTGTATTGTATCCAAACTCTACACATTTAATTCAACCTATGGATGTGGCTGTATTTAAGCCGCTAAAACAATTTTGGAAAAAATCTGTAAGAGATTGGCACATCTAAAATCACAGAAAAATACTGCGAAAAGAAAATTTCGGAAAAGTGTTTGAGAAAGCATTATCCAAAGTTACAGATAAAACAATTCAACATGGATTTAGGGCATGTGGACTTTCGCCGTTTAATGTAGAAAATTTCAAACCCGTCGACAGAAGTTAATCAAACCAGTATAATAGAAGGGTTGGTCAGAAAAATTAAAAAACTTTCGAACAAATTTTGATACTGCATGGTCAGGTAATATCGAAAACGTGTCACTATTTAATGTATGGAACACAATGAAAAAAAATTAAAATAGAATCTGCTTTAGGTATTGGAAAACAAATGACACAGAACCAAAATTACAACAACAAAGCAAATGATTTTGTAGAAAAAAATACTAGACAAGTCGAGACCAGCTGGCCTTCAACAACAAAGAGTTGATTTTGATATGACACCATTAAAAATTATTGTACATTCTGTCGTCAATATTACACCTCCTACTGTATCAGAAGGTGATAAATCTCCTTTAAATTCATTGGAAAATACAACGCCTTTAAATATATTATCTTTAAAGAATCAAGTTCACACCTTGTTTTGTCTGAAAGGAGTAAAAAACATAAAAAAAAAGAATAAAGAGCAAATTCTTTGTGCTATTATGATAGAAATTTGGCAAAAATACCACATAAAAAAGGATTATGAGAAAAAGAGAAAACAAGAACAACAACAAAAACGGGCAGAAGACAGAAAGCGGAAAAGGGAAGAAAAAAATTATAAAAATACAAAACGAGGCTGTCAGTAAAGAGGGAAAGTTCTGACAATTCATCCGAAAACGAAGAATGGATAGAAATTGGGGACAGTATTGATGATGTCAGTATCAATTTAGAAAATGAAGAAGAGAACGAAATACCAATCAAATAAGACGATATTCATGTAGGATATTTTATTTTAGCGAAATTCTTAGGAGGAAAGAGAAAAACTTTTTTTATAGGTATATCTGTGTGGTTCAGAAAAAATATTCCCGAAACGATATTGAAGTTATATCCCTTAAATCAACAAATGAAACAAATACCTTCAAACTTATTAGTGATATTTCAACAATCGAGATAGAGGATATCATAAAAAAGTTATCCCAACCGGAACTACACAATGTCGGCGACAGAATAAAATATGTATTTTCAAAAAATATTGATATTTTTGAAGCCTAAAGCACCCATAAATTTTCATTTTTTGTTTTTATTTTTTGTGTTAAGAATTTGCTGTTTATTTTTATTTACTAATTAAAAGTATAATAAAAAAATGTTCCTTAATTTGTGTCAATAATTGGTGTGTCAAATAATGGTAAATGAAAAAAATCAAGTGCTAATGACTGGTACTTCAAAACACTTTTTTTATAATATTTATTATATGAAAAGCAAAATTATTAGAACTAAAAATACATAACTAATGAACTCAAGAAACTATAAGCTACAAGAAAAAAACCCTTGGATCCACAGGCAGAGACTCTCACCCCACAAAGTTTATTATTATTATTAATACCGTAGACCCCTTCAAACTTTGAAGAAATATTAAATTACAAAAATTTACCCTTACGTGAATTTTGGGCTAAATTCACTGAAATAATGTTAAAGTTTTATTGTTAAATATATTTCTAGTACATTTATGTTACTTTAAAATATTATCTATTACGATTTTATTACCTTTTGGTTCAAAATTCTAATACGAAAAAATTAATTGGTAACACTGTGTACATCATTTCAGCCACTTATTTTTCGGATATACTGAATTTTCGGATTTCGATTTGCGATTTCTCGATAACAAATTCACAACTTTTCAAAAAGTTAGTTTACTTAAATAAAAATCCAGTACTTTCTAGAACTATTTTTAAGAAAATTAAAGAAAATAACGTCTCAGTTCCGTGAAATAAAACGAGAAAATCTAAAAAGAAATTTTAAAACACTATAACTTACCTACCTTCTTGCCGAATTTTAATTATATGAATTTTATTTTTCTTTTGAGACACCCAGTATGTTTCTACTCTCTTATAAAACGTACATAACCGACCTGAAAATATTTAAATACCCAAGCTTTTTAGCTACCTATATTACCTTAATAAGCAAGCAAAAAATAAAATATTTTTTTAATTGTTCCAAAAACAGAAATTCCAGTAAAAAAAACTATAAACGTAGCAGCTGCACAGTTTCTGAAATTTATTTTTATGTAGAATAGTAAATATGATGTTTCCGATACCTCTTTACCTAAATTTTTTGACTGTTCTAGTTAAAAATTTAAAAATTTCAGTTAAACTTTTCCACTTAGTGTAATTTCTCTATATTTTCAGATGATCCCCTCAATATTATGTAACATTTTGCAATGTTTCTTTTAAAAATTAATTATTCCAAGAACATATTATCATTTTATTATCAATATGAACAGAAGTACCTCAAAAAACACCGCTAATTACTTTATTCTAAGGTCTAATGTACTGACCCGTTATTGGGTTAGCTTGTATTGTTACAAATATACGAATTCTTGTCAAACTAGCGAAAACACCCGATGCTTCCCGAGAAGCGAGAATGTATTTCCGAGCTCTACTATAACTTTATCAAAAAGAAAACACTAGAAAAATTAACTACCTAGTTATAAATATGTAGGCAGACTTTTTCTTAATTATTTAGCTGCACTTAATATGCCCTTTATAGTTTATAAATTAATAATAATAATACACCTAAGTAGGCACCGATGCCTTCAGCACTATTTGCCTAGAGTCTAAGACTAATTCACTAATTTGCATTGTAATTTTCAAATCTACCAATTGTGTAATACTTTCTTTATTAGAAAAGACATAATTGTACATACCTTTTTTATTTTTTGGTCTTAGTTCTGGCACTTACAAATATCAAAGAAAATGGCGTCCATAATGTTCAAATATAACAACAGTTCCCGCACAAAAGCGTCATATTTATCAACTAATTCATACACTCGTACACGTAAATAAGCCATATTAGTGCCATAGTTTAAATAAAATGTCTAAACAATAAAAACACAAGAAAAAACGATTTTAATTTACACGTAACCCGGAAACCACACACGATTTTTTTCTAGAATAATTCGCCGATTACATGCCGGTAGAAAAATAAACGTCAAACGTCAAAAACAAAAAGAGCGCGTTGAAGAAACTGATCTAGATGCCGCATGCCAGAGTCGGCGTTAGAATAATTAAAAAATTAGGAATCAATTTAACTTATTTAATTATTAATTTTTTTTTATAATCAAAATAGTATTTAATTTGATTATTTGATCTAGCAGGCCGCATACCAGAGGCGGCGTTAGAATAAATAAAAAATTAATAATCAATTCCACTTATTTAAATATTAAATTATTTCTTTTATAGTCATAATAGTATTTAATTTATTTATTATTTTGGTTTATATGAACTTATATACAGGGTGACCCATTTAGTGCGACGAAATCCAATTTTTCTTTCATCTCTATTTTTTTTAAATTAAATAAAGACTAGTTTCGGCTTTAATGCCATCATCAGGCGAAAATATTAAACAATCAAAACATTCAAATTAAATATAACGATGAGGATCAGTTTTTGAAGGTAAGATACTACAATGTGGTACGAAACAGCGCCGATTTATCCATTAGACAAGAAAGACTAATAAATATTCTAAGAAAAAATTAGTAAAAAGCACTAATGAGTTTTAAAAAGTTGTTTTTAAAGTTGAAAAAACGGTTAAAGTAGAAAAATATGGGTGAAAAGTGGAAAAATATGGGTGTAAAGTGGAAAATGTGGGTGTAAAGTCGAAGAATGTAGGTGTAAAGTGGAATAATATAGGTGTAAAGTGGAATAATATGGGTGTAAAATGGAAGAATGTGAGTGTACAGTGGAAAAACATCGATTAAAGCGGACGATGTTCCCAAAGTGAAAGAATATGGGTGTAAAGTGGAAAAATATGGATGTAAAATGAAAAATATGGGTGTAAAGTGAAATAATGTAGGTGTAAAGTGAAAGAATATGAGTGTAAAATGGAAGAATGTGAGTGTACAGTAGAAAAACATCAGTTAAAGCGGACGATGTTCCCAAAGTGAAAGAATATGGGTGTAAAGTGGAAAAATATGGGTGTACAGTGGAAAAATATGGGTTAATGTGAGATATGCGTTAGGTTAACAAGAAATAAAAGTGGAAGAACGTGAATTTAAATGGAACAAAAAAATGCTCTAAAAGTGGAAGAACATTAGTTTTTTCTTGTTTTGACGTCATGACTATAATGGTCCATTGTTAATTTCTCCTGAAACCGTTTAATACAAAAAAATAAACAAGTTTTATTAAAAAAAATTCTCTTACTGGAATAATAATTTTTACAACGTTCAAAACCTTTATACAAATTATACATACCTTAAAATGGAAGAATATGAGCTAAATGTTAAAGAAAATTAGGTAAAAGTGGAAAAATTTTGGTTAAATGATGAAGACGGAGTGTTAAAAGTGAAACACAACGGTTAAAGTGGAAGATGTTCCCAAAATAGAAGAATATGGGTGTAAAGTGGAAAAATATGAGTATATAGTGGGAACATATGGGTTAAGAGTGAGAAAAAATGTGTTAAAAGTGAAGGAATATTTTTAAAAGTAGAACGTGGAATAAAAGTGGATCATGGAATAAAAGTGGAATGTTTGTTAAAAATGAAAGAATGTCAGTTAAAATAGAAAAAATGCGCTAAAACTGGAAGAATATTAATTTTTTTTCGTTTTTTGGCGTCATGACTATAATGCTTCATTGTTGTTGTCTTCTAACACCGTTTAATACAAAAGACGGTGGGTTAAAAGTAAAGATCGTCAGTTAAAAATGGAATAACGTGGGTAAAATGGAATAAAAGGGGAAGAATATGGATTATGATAAAAATATTGTTTAAAAGTGAAAAACGACGGTTAAAATGGAAGAATATGGAATTACAGAGAAAAAATATGGGTTAATATGGGTTATGTATTAAAAGTGGGAAAAAATATGCTAAAAATAGAACATTTGTTGAAAGTAGAAGAACATAGAAGAACCAGGATTAAAATGGAAGAACTCGGGTTAAAATAGAATAACCCGGATTAAAATGAAAAAACCTGGGTTAAAATGGAAGAACCCGGGTTAAAATAGAAGAACCAGGTTTAAAATGGAAGAACCCGGGCTAAAATGGAAGAACCTGGGTTAAAATGAAAGAACCCTGGCTAAAATGGAAGAACTCGGGTTAAAATATAAGAACCAGGTTTAAAATGGAAGAACCCAGGTTAAAATGGAAGAACCCGGGTTAAAATGGAAGAACCCGGGTTAAAATGGAAGAACCCGGATTAAAATGAAAGAACCCGGATTAAAATGGAAGAACCTGGGTTAAAATGGAAGAACCCGGGCTAAAATGGAAGAACTCGGGTTAAAATGGAAGAACCCGAGTTAAAATGGAAGAACCCGGGTTAAAATGGAAGAACCCGAGTTAAAATGGAAGATCCCGGATTAAAATGGAAGAACCCGGGTTAAAATTAAAGATCATGGTCTAAACGTGAAAGATCATGAATTTTAAGTAAAGAAATCGTCGCTTTCTTCTAACACTGTCATAATAAAAAAATCGTAACAATATCAGCTTTAATAAAAAAAAATAAAAAAATACAAGTAACTCAAAAATTTAACAACGTTCAAAAACTTTATACAAATTATGCAAATCGGCAATTTCCAACAAGGCGCCGTTTTCCGTAAACGATTTAGGCGGAATAAAATACTCTTTTATAGCCGGATATAAAATTTGTTCCGTGACCCATTGCCAGTCCTTCTCGTTCTGATTGGTTTCCTTCGGAACTTTGGCATAGAATTTGGCCGTTTCTTGGGCGAAAGTTCGAAAACATTCCATTTCCGAGTCCCAGTTGACTTCCGTAGCCAAACGAACGATGTACAACGGTAGACCCGTAGGATCTGGTAAATAATTTTCTAGAAAATAATATTTAATAACTAATAAAAGTGAAAACAAAAGAAAAATTGAAAAAACTACGTGGCCAGGCAGGATATGGGTTAAAATGGAAGAACATGGAAAAAATAGAAAAATATAGGTTGAAAGGGAAGAATATGGGTTAAAAATGGAATAACATGGGTTAAAAATGGGAGAACATAGGTTAAAAATGGAAGAATATGGGTTAAAATGGAAGAATAATGGTTAAAATGGAAGAGTAATGGTTAAAATGGAAGAGTAATGGTTAAAATGGAAGAATGTGGGCTAAAATGAAAGAATAATGGTTAAAAAGGAAGAATGTAGACTAAAATGGAATAATATGGGTTAAAATGGAAGAATATGGGTTAAAATGAAAAAAAAATATGGGTTAAAATGAAAGAATATGGATTAAAAATGGAAGAACATTGTTCAAAATTAAAGAATATGGGTTAAAGGCTGAAGAATATTGGTAAAAAGAGAAGATAGGTTAAAATGGAACAGTGTGAGTTAAAAATTGAAGAATATGGGTTAAAAAGGAAAGAAATGAGTAAAGAGTGGGCAAATCTGGGTATAAAATTGAAAAAGGTAGGTCAAAATCCAAAGGACATGAATTTAAATTGTGAAAAACGTGAAAAATATTTGGGTTAGTAGTGGAGAAAATGGGGTTTAATTTGAAGGATGTAGGTCAAAAGTAAAATAAATGATAGAAATGGAATACCGTGGGTCAAAATGGAAGAATGTGAACTAAAAGAATAAGAACATGGGGTAAAATGGTTGATTATGTCTTAAAATTGGAGAATATGAGGTAAATATTAAAGAACTATAGGTAAAAGTGAAATAACTAAGGAGAGCATAAGAAAAAAAAAAGAAAAGCTTAAAATGGGTGAATAAAGAGTCATGGGTTAAAAATTAAAGGTGGGTCAAAAAAATAACATGAGTTCAAAATATATAAACGAGGGTTAAAATTAAAGAGCATGAGTTAAAATTGAACATGGGTTGAAATTGAAGAAGATGAATTAAAATAGGAATATCATGGATTGAAATGAAAGAATATGGGTTAAAAGTGAAAAACATGTTATTTTCGATTATTTTGGTTTATTTTGGATTATTTTGGATTATTTTAGATTATTTTGGATTATTTTGGATTATTATGGATTATTTTGGATTATTTTGGATTATTTTGGATTATTTTGGATTATTTTGGATTATTTTGGATTATTTTGGATTATTTTGGATTATTATGGATTATTTTGGATTATTTTGGATTATTTTGGATTATTTTGGATTATTTTGGATTATTTTGGATTATTTTGGATTATTTTGGATTATTTTGGATTATTTTGGATTATTTTGGATTATTTTGGATTATTTTGGATTATTTTGGATTATTTTGGATTATTTTGGATTATTTTGGATTAATTCGGATTATTTTGGATTATTTTGGATTATTTTGGATTATTTTGGATTATTTTGGATTATTTTGGATTATTTTGGATTATTTTGGATTATTTTGGATTATTTCGGATTATTTTGGATTATTTTGGATTATTTTGGATTATTTTAGATTATTTTGGATTATTTTGGATTATTTTGGATTATTTTGGATTATTTTGGATTATTTTGGATTATTTTGGATTATTTTGGATTATTTTGGATTATTTCGGATTATTTTGGATTATTTTGGATTATTTTGGATTATTTTGGATTATTTTGGATTATTTCGGATTATTTTGGATTATTTTGGATTATTTTGGGTTATTTTGGATTATTTTCGATTATTTTTGATTATTTTCAATTATTTTCGAATATTGTCGATTAATCGTTTAATCATTGAATAATCGAATGATCAATTTTAAAGAAAATACAAAAAACGATTATTTTTTATTCATCGATAATTTTCGATTATTGTCGATTGTTATCGATTATTGTCGTCTAACCGTTTAATAATATAATAATCGATTTTAAAGGAAATACAAAAAACGATTATTTTTTATTCATCGATTATTTTCGATTATTGTCGATTAATCGTTTAATCATTGAATATAATCTAATAATCGATTTTAAATAAAATACAAAAAACGATTATTTTTTATTCATCGATTATTTTGGATTATTTTGGATTATTTTCGATTATTGTCGATTATTATCGATTATTGTCGATTAATCGTTTATTCAATGAATAATCCAAAAATCAATTTTAAATAAAATACAAAAAACGATTATTTTTTATTCATCGATTATTTTCGATTATTATAGATTAATTTCGATTAATTTCGATTATTTTCGATTATTTTCGATTATTTTCGATTATTTTCGATTATTTACGATTATTTTCGATTATTTTCGATTATTTTCGATTATTTTCGATTATTTTCGATTATTTTCGATTATTTTCGATTATTTTCGATTATTTTCGATTATTTTCGATTATTTTCGATTATTTTCGATTATTTTCGATTATTTTCGATTATTTTCGATTATTTTCGATTATTTTCGATTATTTTCGATTATTTTCGATTATTTTCGATTATTTTCGATTATTTTCGATTATTTTCGATTATTTTCAATTATTTTCGATTATTTTCGATTATTTTCGATTATTTTCGATTATTTTCGATTATTTACGATTATTTTCGATTATTTTCGATTATTTTCGATTATTTTCGATTATTTTCGATTATTTTCGATTATTTTTGATTATTTTCGATTATTTTCGATTATTTTCGATTATTTTCGATTATTTTCGATTATTTTCGATTATTTTCGATTATTTTCGATTATTTTCGATTATTTTCGATTATTTTCGATTATTTTCGATTATTTTCGATTATTTTCGATTATTTTCGATTACTGTCGATTAATCCTTTATTCAATGAATAATCTAATAATCGATTTTAAAGAAAATACAAAAAAAACGATTATTTTTTATTCATCGATTATTTTCCATCATTTTCGATTATTTTCGATTAATAATCCTATACAAGGAAATTTAAATATTACCTAATAATATTGGAATGCTGCATATATTTCCGTCTTTATCAACTTCGACCGAAAAATAATCCTTCATCATGGGCCCCTTATCGATCAAAATATCGGTAACGCGTTTCGACAGCTCCGCCTTATCTCCATCCTCAGGCGTCCAACCGGTTTCCGGCAACTCCATGCACGTCAAAGCCAACTCGAAAACGGATATTTTATTCGAAAAAGTGTAACTGTCGAAATTCTGAAAGTTGTACATGACGAACTGATAGAACAGTTCGCACAAGATGGCTCTGGTGTTGCACAGGTACATTTTCGTGTTGTACTGGATCAGCGCTTGCGCGGGATCCACGCTGCCGACGAAAACGTGTTGGGCGAACGTTTCGCGCAACATCCTGTGGCAGTTTTGTTCGATTTCTTTACGAAGTTGCAGAACGCTCGTTAATTTGGTTTCATGTCTAAAAAGTAATTATTCATAATTACTTCTATCTGGTAAGCGATTAAGTTTATTATTTGTGATAAAAATGGAGAAAGATGGGTTATAAATTGAAAAAATGGGTTAAAATGGAAGAATATGGGTTAAAATTAAAAACCGTGGGTTAAAAGTGAAAGAATATGGATTAGAAGTTGGAGGATGTATGTCAAAAGCAGAATAACATGGCTTAAAAATGGAATATCGTGTGTTAAAAATGGAAGAAAATGTGATAAAATACAAGCTACATGGAATAAAATAAGAAATATGGGCTAAAATTAAAAAACCGTGGGTTAAAAGTGAAAGAATATGGATTAGAAGTTAAACGACGTATGTGAAAAGCAGATTAACATGGGTTAAAAATGGAATATCGTGTGTTAAAATGGAAGAAAATGTGATAAAATAGAAGCTACATGGAATAAAATAAGAAATATGGGCTAAAATTAAAAAACCGTGGGTTAAAAGTGAAAGAATATGGATTATAAGTTGGAGGATGTATGACAAAAGCAGAATAATATGGGTTAAGAATGGAATATCGTGTGTTAAAATGGAAGAAAATGTGATAAAATAGAAGTTACATGGAATAAAATAAGAAATATGGGCTAAAATTAAAAAACCGTGGGTTAAAAGTGAAATAATATGGATTAGAAGTTGGAGGATGCATGACAAAAGCAGAATAACATGGGTTAAAAATACAATATCGTGTGTTAAAATGGAAAAAAATGTGATAAAATAGAAGCTACATGGAATAAAATAATAAACATGGGCTAAAATTAAAAAATCGTGGGTTAAAAGTGAAATAATATGGATTAGAAGTTGAAGGATGTATTAAAAAGCAGAATAACATGGGTTAAAAATGGAATATTGTGTGTTAAAATAGAAGCTACATGGAATAAAATAAGAAATATGGGCTAAAATTAAAAAACCGTGGGTTAAAAGTGAAAGAATATGGATTAGAAGTTAAACGACGTATGTGAAAAGCAGAATAACATGGGTTAAAAATGGAATATCGTGTGTTCAAATGGAAGAAAATGTGATAAAATAGAAGCTACATGGAATAAAATAAGAAATATTGGCTAAAATTAAAAACCGTAGGTTAAAAGTGAAAGAATATGGATTAGAAGTTGGAGGATGTATGACAAAAGCAGAATAATATGGGTTAAAAATGGAATATCGTGTGTTAAAATGGAAGAAAATGTGATAAAATAGAAGCTACATGGAATAAAATAAGAAATATGGGCTAAAATTAAAAAACCGTGGGTTAAAAGTGAAAGAATATGGATTAGAAGTTGGAGGATGTATGACAAAAGCAGAATAACATGGGTTAAAAATGGAATATCGTGTTTTCAAATGGAAGAAAATGTGATAAAATAGAAGCTACATGGAATAAAATAAGAAATATGGGCTAAAATTAAAAAACCGTGAGTTAAAACTGAAAGAATATAGATTAAAAGATGGAGGACGTATGTCAAAAGCAGAATAATATGGGTTAAAAATGGAATATCGTGTGTTAAAATGGAAGAAAATGTGATAAAATAGAAGCTACATGGAATAAAATAAGAAACATGGGCTAAAATTAAAAAATCGTGGGTTAAAAGTGAAATAATATGGATTAGAAGTTGAAGGATGTATTAAAAAGCAGAATAACATGGGTTAAAAATGGAATATTGTGTGTTAAAATAGAAGCTACATGGAATAAAATAAGAAATATGGGCTAAAATTAAAAAACCGTGGGTTAAAGTGAAAGAATATGGAATAGAAATTAAACGACGTGTGTGAAAAGCAGAATAACATGGGTTAAAAATGGAATATCGTTTGTTAAAATGGAAGAAAATGTGATAAAATAGAAGCTACATGGACTAAAATAAGAAATATGGGCTAAAATTAAAAAACCGTGGGTTAAAAGTGAAAGAATATGGATTAGAAGTTGGAGGATGTATGACAAAAGCATATATCGTGTGTAAAATAAGTTACAAATGAGAAAACATGGGTTAAAAGTATTAAAACATTTGTCAAACATGTAAAAAACAACAGAAAGCTCACCTACGAAAACGCGTTTGGATTTTAAATACATTCACTTACACAAAGCTTTATATTAGATCAAATATAACAGATATATGAGAAAAATCGTATAAAATCAAAACCTGTGCTCACCTTGTAACTTTTTTAATGAACGAGGCGTTTAAAGGTTCATAATGCTTTGAAGTTGACGGTATTTCCATTTCTTTTACATCATTATCGACTGATGTTTCTATAATTTCAATAACGTCTGCCGATTCAGGGTTATTTTTATCTAAAATAATAAAAATATGTAGGAAATTATGTCCAGATTTAAATAAAAACTTACCAGGAACAGCTTCGCTCGCTTTTTCTACGGTTCTATTCAAATTAATCAGATCTTCGAGATTTTCTGCTCTATTCAAAAACGATTCTTCGTGCTTTTGAAGCTCTTCCTCTGTCACAGATTCGTTTAGTCTTTTTAACGGTTGTTCTCTTTTCTCTTCTACTTTATCGCTTTTTTTTATTGCTTCGCCGAAAAACTTTTCTAATTTTTGTTCTTTCGCGTCCGTTCTCACCATATTATAGACTTGCGTCGATTTGGCCGGAGGATTAGACTTATCACGCAATTCGAGAACTTGTAAGTCCATAACTTTCGGTAATTTCGCCTGAAGTATATTTATTTCTAAGTAATTTTATTTAAAAATAATTATATTACAAAGTAATTTTATTACAGTGTAATTTTATTACAAAGTAATTTTATTACAAAGTAATTTTATTACAAAGTAATTTTATTACAATGTAATTTTATTACAATGTAATTTTATTACAATGTAAAATTATTACAATGTAAAATTATTACAACGTAATATTATTACAAATTAATTTTATTACAAAGCATTTTATTACTAAGTAATTTTATTACAAAGTAATTTTATTGCAAATTCATTTTAGGGAGCGTTCAAGTATTACGTAACGAATTTGGGGGGAGGGGGGTTTTTGTAAAACGTTACGATGCGTTATAGGAGCCTTTGAACTACGCGTTACGCAACATTATTTTTTAACCCTTCAGAAAAGTCGCGTAGAGAGTTTCCCTCACTAATTTTTTAAAACGTTTCTTTTTCTCAAAATTTCAAGTCACCATTTGACCTTTTTTTACCTTCACAAAAACGTTACGGCGCGTTACATGGGGGGAGGGGGGGGTTAAAAATCTCCAAAAATTGCGTTACGTAATACTTGAACGCTCCCTTATTACAAAGTAATTTTATTACAAAGTAAGTTTATTGCAAGTTAATTTTATTACAAAGTAATTTTTATTACAAAGTGTTTTATTACATAGTAATTTTATTACCGAGTAATTTTATTACCAAGTAATTTTATTACCAAGTAATTTTATTACCAAGTAATTTTATTACAATGTAATTTTATTACAATTTTATTACAATTTAATTTTATTATATATGTAATTTTATTACAATGTAATTTTATTACAATGTAATTTTATTACAAAGTAATTTTATTACAAAGTAATTTTATTACAAAGTAATTTTATTACAAAGTAATTTTATTACCAAGTAATTTTATTACCAAGTAATTTTATTACCAAGTAATTTCATTACACAATAATTATTACAAAGTTATCATTACAAAGTAATTATTACAAAGTAATTATTACAAAGTAATTATTTCAACGTAATTATTTCAACGTAATTATTACAAAGTAATTATTACAAAGTAATTATTACAAAGTAATTATTACAAAGTAATTATTACAAAGTAATTATTACAAAGTAATTATTACAAAGTAATTATTACAAAGTAATTATTACAAAGTAATTGCTACAAAGTAATTATTACAAAGTAATTATTACAAAGTAATTATTACAAAGTAATTATTACAAAGTAATTATTACAAAGTAATTATTACAAAGTAATTGCTACAAAGTAATTATTACAAAGTAATTATTACAAAGTGATTATTACAAAGTAATTATTACAAAGTAATTATTACAAAGTAATTATTACAAAGTAATTATTACAAAGTAATTATTACACAGTAATTATTACAAAGTAATTATTACAAAGTAATTATTACAAAGTAATTATTACAAAGTAATTATTACAAAGTAATTATTACAAAGTAATTATTACAAAGTAATTATTACAAAGTAATTATTGCAAAGTAATTATTGCAAAGTAGTTATTACAAAGTAATTATTACAAAGTAATTATTACAAAGTAATTATTACAAAGTAATTATTACAAAGTAATTATTACAAAGTAATTATTACAACGTAATTATTACAAAGTAATTATTACAAAGTAATTATTACAAAGTAATTATTACAAAGTAATTATTGCAAAGTAATTATTACAAAGTAAATTATTATAAAATCGGTAAAATAGTGTAAATTCCTAAGCGACTTTTTATTTACCTGCGCAAAGAACGTTCTAGAATTGTTACTGCCTAATAGTTTGGTTTCAATTGCAGTTGCAATGCATTCGATAATTTGATCTTCGTTTAAGAAATGTACTTCGTGTTTGGTCGGATGCACGTTGATATCTATGTTATTCGGATCTAATTCGAGACTCAGATAAACGAAAGGATGCGCGTTTTTTGGCAAATAAGTTGCGTATACTTGATCTATACATTTTTTTAAACCTGTAAGAAACGGTTTACTTTGTAAGTAATTCAAACGTTCTCTTGAATTTATAAATTAAGGATATTACATTTGGGCCAGCTGCCCTTTGCCCAAGCCTCATTATTATAAAATATTTTACGGTTTTAGATCGATAAAGAACTTTAGGAGTACCGCTGGGATGCAATTTAGGCCCACTTTAGTTTCTAAACATTATTAAGTTGTGATATTTGCATACACAAACAATTTAAAGATGTTTAGTGGCATTAAAGATGACTGTCATAAATTATTTAAAAAGGAATACAAATATGGCTTAAAAGAAAAAGAATATGGGTTAAAATTGAAAGAATTTCGAGTTAAACTTGAAGAACATAGGTTTAAAGCGGAAACGTACCATAAAATTGAAGAATATGGGTTAAAAATAAAGAATATGAGTTAAATATTGAACATGGGTTCGCAGTTAAAGTAAATGGGTCAAACGTGAAAGACTATGAATGATTTAGCATGGGTTTGAAGTGTAAAAATATGGGTAAATAGTGTAAAAGACAAGATATTGTTTCTTGAAGCAGGCGCATAGAGCAGCTGTACCATTTGTACTATTCCTGATGGATATAACTTACTTTGACAATCAACGAGTCTGTGGTTAATAAATAAAAGCAACTGGAACTTTTTGGGCGAATAATTTACATTAGATATGTATCCGTTTGCTTTGAATTGGAATTGTTGATTTTCCAAAGAAAATTCAATGAGTTCTCTAGCTATTGAACTACCGTAAATGATTTGTATGTTGTCGACGTGATTGGAATTTTGAGGAGTCCTTATGTCATTATTTTCACCGAATTTCTTTAAAGCAAAACCTATAAATATTTAAAAAAAAAACAAATAGAAGGTTATATATACAACAAAAAGTAGTTTTAATATTGTTTATTGGAAAAACAATTATAAAAAGTAATTTAAATGTAGTATGGTATGGCAAAAATGAAAGAATGTGGGTTAAAAATTAAAAATTATGGGTTAAAAGGGAAGAATATGGGTAAAAATTGAAAAACTTGGGTCAAACATGAAAAAATATGTTAAGAAGCGGAATAATATAGGTTAAAAGTGGAAGAAGGTAGGTTAAAAGTGGAAGAAGGTAGGTTAAAAGTGGAAGAAGGTAGGTTAAAAGTGGAAGAAGGTAGGTTAAAAGTGGAAGAAGGTGGGTTATAAGTGAGAGAACAATGGTTAAAATCGAAGAACAAATGTTAAAAATAAAAAACATGGGTTAAAATTAAGAGAATAGGGTTAAAAGTTAAAGAAGGGTTAGCAAGAGTGGAAGATGGATCAAAAGATTAAGTATGAGTCAAAAATGTAAAATCTTGGTAAAAAGAGAAGAACATGGGTTAAAAGTGGAAGAAGATAGGTTAAAAATTAAAGAAACATGTGTTAATATTGAAAAACGTGACTAAAAATGGAAGAATACAAGTTTGGAAAAAAACATGGGATAAAAGTGGAAGAATGTAGGTCAAAAGTTGAAGAATGTGGGTTAAAAGTGGAAGAATGTGGGTCAAAAGTGGAAGAACGTGGGTCAAAAATGGAAGGTGTATTAAAATGGAAGATAAAAGTTTAAAACTGAGAGAACAAGTGTTAAAAGTGAAAGATAAGTCAATGAATTAAAACAACATGTTAATAATTATGTTACTAATATTAATAATGGAAGAAGGTGGGCAAAAATTAAAGAAGATGGGTTAAATGTAAAAGAACATGGGTTAAAGGTAAAAAAATATGGGTAAAAAGTGAAATAATTAAATAAAAGTGGAAAAACATAAATTAAAAGCGTAATAACAAAGCAAAACCTATAAACCTTAAAAACCCAAGTAATAAGAGTTTATAAACAAACAAAAACTCGTTAAAATAGGGTAAAGTAATTATTAAAAAATAATGTACAAACGTGGGCATTAAGAACAGATCATTTACTAATATTACCAATTTTGTGATAGTTAAAATATTGACATGGGTCAAAACTGGAAAAATGTGGAATAAAGTGGAATATCATGAGTCAAAACTGGAATAACATGGGTTAAAAGTAAAAAGACTATGATTTGAAAGGGAATAACATTGTTAAAAATTGAGAAACGTGGGTTAAAAGTAGAAAAAATGGCTTAAAATTGAAGAATATATGTTATAAAGTGACAGAATATGGATTAAAAGTGGAAGAATATGGGTCAAAAATGAGAGAAGATGGATTAAAAGCAAAGTGAAAGAACTATAAAAATGATTACACCTAAAAAACGTGGGTTAAAATGGAAGAACATGGGTTAGAATGAAAGAACATGGGTTAATAGTGGAATACTATGAGTTAAAATGGAAGGAGGTAGGATAAAAATAAATGAAAATGAGTTAAAATTGGAAAACATGGCTTGAAACGGAATTAAACTAATTTTAAGAGAACCTGGGATAAAAGTAGAAGAATATGGATTTAAAGTGACAAAAAGTAGTTCAAAAAAGAAAGAACAAAGTATAAAATAGAAGGACAACACTTAAAAGTGAACAGGTAAGTGTGAAAATTATAAGGATAGGTTAAAATGGAAGAATTTGTGTTAATAATGGGTTAACAGTGGAAGAATGTGAGATAAAATAAAAGATATGTTAAAGGTAAAACATGTTAAAGGTAAAACATGAGTTAAAAGTGGAATAACTGATAAAAAATGGAAGAACATGAGTCAAAAAAGTTAAAATGAAGCAAATCTTATAAATCTTCAAAACCAAATTAATAAAAGGTTATTACCAAACAAAAAAGAATAGTTCAAATACATTCATTGGGACACTTAATATGGACATAATTATTAAAAAATAATTTACCAACGTGAGCATTACATTAACAACAGCATATTGGCAATTGTTTATAGTTAAAATATGTATATTGGCACAAAGTGAAAAAACATGAGTTAAAAATTAAAAACTTTGGTCAAAATAGAATATCATGGGTCAAAACTGGAATAACATGGGTTAAAAGTGGAAATAATTGGATTTAAAAGGGAATAACATGGATAAATTTGAAGAATATATGTTAGAATGTGATAGAATATGGATTAAAAGTGGAATAATATAGGTCAAAAGTGAGATAACAGAGATAAGAGTAGAAGATAGGTCAAAAAATAGTAACACTTGAAAAACGTAGGTTAAAATGGAAGAACGCGGGTCAAAAGTGGAATAACATGAGTTGAAAATGGAAGAAGGTAGGTTAGAAATGAAATAAAATGAGTCGAAATTGGAAAAAGTGGATTGAAATGGAATTATACAGATGTTAAGAGAACTTGGGATAAAAGTGGAAGAATATTCATTAAAATTAACAAAAAATGAGTCAAAAGTAGAACAAAGTGTGATAAAATTAAAGTACATGGGTTTAAGTTAAAAAACATGAGTGAAAAGTGTAATAATTGATAAAAAAAAAAAATAGAAGAACATGGGTTAAAAAAGTAAAATAAAGCAAAACTTATAAACCTTCAAAATTAAATTATCAAGAGGACACAAAATATGGGCAAAATAATTATTTAAAAATAATTTATCAATGTGGGCATTAAGAAAGGCATATTTACTTACATTGGTAATTTTTTAATTTTAATTGAAAACGTAAGTTAAAATGGAATATCATAAGTCAAAACTGGAATAACATGGGTTTAAATTGGAAAGACTTGGATCTAAAAGGGTAAAGATTAGTAAAAATTGAAGAGCGTGGGTTAAAAATAGAAAAATCGGCTTTAAATTGAAGAATAATATGTTATAAAGTGACAGAATATGGAAAGTGGAATAACATGAGTTAAAAATGGAAGAATGTCGGTTAAAAATTGAAAAAAATGAGTTAAAATTGGAAAACATGGCTGGAAACGGAATTATACTGATTTTAAGAGAATCTGTGATAAAAGTAGAACAATATGGATTAAAAGTGACAGAAGGTGGGTCAAAAAAGAACGAAAAAAGTTTAAAATAGAAGAACAACATTTCAAAGTGAAAAAACAAGTGTTAAAAGTAAAAGAAGTGTGAAAATTATAAGGATGGGTTAAAATGGAGGAATTTGAGTTAAAATGGAAGTCATTTTTTATTTTAATTAATTTTTTTTCAGTAGGTTTAAATCCCAATTGCAAGTGAATAAAATAAAAACTGGTAGAATTCTATTAAGTAAAAATACATATTAATAATGGGTTAATAGTGGAATAAGGTGAGATAAAATAAAAGAACATGAGTTAAAGGTAAAAACATGGAATAATTGATTAAAAAAGGAAGAACATGGGTTAAAAAAAGTAAAAACAAACCAAAACTTTTAAAAACAACTGTTAGCAACAAAGATAGTTGAAATATATATATTGGCACATAGAATATGAGCAAAATAATAATTAAAAAATAACTTACCAACATGGGCATTATGAATAGCATATTTACTAACAACATCAGCAATTTTCTGATATTCTTCAGCCGGAGATCTTAAAGCTTTCTTTCTTACATGCATATTATAAAACAAATCCTCAACAGTTATTATAGTTCCTTGATTACCCGCTGTAGGCTTTGGTGGTCCTTGTAATTTACTGTCAATGTAACTTGCTCTAAAAATTATTGAAACTCACACAATTGCTCTAAACAATAATTGAATTTTATGTAATCCCACACAATAAACATTTGATTTAACCAGTGGCGTAGCCACGGGGGGGATTTTGGGGGTCCTTGCATCACCATTTCCACTATAGTATTGGCGCTGATCGTAATTGACCCCCGATAATTCTCAAAAACCCCTCCCATGAAAAATGGGACGTCACTGGATTTAACTCAGAGTACATAATTTGTAGTATTAAAGCTTTTATATTTTAAAATAAAAGGAGAATATAACTTACTGATAAGCACAAATTTCTAATTTGGTTTTCGAGGTGATTGTTAAATGGGCTATATGGGAAATGCTTGCTAGTGCTTCACCACGAAAACCATATGTGGATATCTTATGTAAATCTTCAAATTCTTGTAATTTAGAAGTCGTAAATCGTTCGCACACTATTTCAAAGTCTTCCTTCCTAATTCCAGTTCCATTATCTTGTATCTTCAATATATAATAATACTTAATGTTTTCTTGATATAAGATATTCGTTTACATTAAATAAAATAGAATAGACAAATAATACTCACCTGCAATAATTTAAGCCCGCCATGTTTGAGGGTTATTTGAATATTAGTGGATTTAGCATCAAGGCTGAAATTTAAAATTCTCGTTTGACTGTTAACTTTGGCTAAGCTTATTATTTGCTACCTGTTTTCAAGGAGTTCTTTCAGAGCATTTGCTGGTCGCTGTATTACTTCGCCGGCTGCTATTCTATTGATAACAGCCTCGTCCAATTTTTTGATTGCGAGAGGTTCCATTTTACCATTTAAAATTGTTTATTTTTTAAATTTTTAAATCTGAAAATTAAACCCTAACCTATCACTTTTTTAAATTTACTTAAATTTTTAAATAGGCAACACATATTACACTAAGGTTGTATATTACCTACCGTAGATGTATTAGTTCCATCGTAGTTATTTGTAAAAAGAAGAAACCAATTAAATATAGTTATATAGATTGCTCATCCATATGTAAATCAGACTTATGAAACGCGAGTTTCACTTATCCTTTTTATTCACATACTTTGATTTTCTTTTACTATACGGAGAATGGTCGCACTGCGCAGCTTTCTGAGTGCCTTTTAAAAGGAGATAGAAAACTCCGCCATTTTGAACCCTTATTACGTGTTGCCTACATCTTGGCGCAATATTGTTAATAGGTGCGTTTTAATCATCCGCTTCTGCTTCGGAATTGTCAGTTTTCTTGTTTTAATTTGACAAGTTAAAACGACTAAACCGACAATTCCGGAAGCAGAAGCGGATGGTTAAAACGCACCTGATATTTTGCTTGCTGCTGTCAGTGTCAGTGAATATTATTTTTGAAGTCACAGTTTATTGCTAAAGAATCAGTTAGCTCACTCGAACCAGTTGAAAGTTCCAAAATAACATCCACTCCAGGGATACAAATTCAGGATACGCAGAAGACTGCTGTTTTATTATAGGCGGTTGTCATATATTGTATTATCCGAGTTGCACAGTGTATAAACTGAAACATTGAGATCCAAAGTGCCGACGCAGAGTGAGCGATCTGATTCTTTAGCTGTAAACTGTGTCACAGGGTTCAAAATGGCCGCGCCCTATGTTGGGCGTGTCGGACCTCTCTCTTGCCTCGTATAGTAATCAAAGTATGTGTTTTTATCTTAAAAATGTTTTGCAGAACCAATTTATAAATTAAAATTTTTCCAAGTTTTTCTTGTAAAGATTTTACAGATTTGAATGCAAATATATGCCGCGTTTAAATATCCTTATCCGATGTATTTTTTACATCTCGGGCGTTTGGACACTTAGGACCGATTCGTTGTGTTAAACGGAGATTAAAATGACGTTGTTAATGTAAAAATGTAATTTTAAACTTCGTTTAACACAACGGTGGAATCGGTCCTTAGATAATCGGACACATCTACTAAATCTACTACATCTACATCTGTGTTTGTTTATCCAAGATGTACATGTCCAGATTACATTTTTTACGTCTCGATTTGAAATGAAATGTGAAAGATATGTTCGTCCCATGCCAAAAAGTAAGTGTTCTGTGAATCCAAGTTTATCAATTTATCCTTTGTTTATGCTAGCATGCATATAAAAGTGATTAGTTTGTTTAATTTTTGTTTAGATTTCGAATTTAGGTTGATTTGTAGTCTCAAAAGTCAAATTTAAAAACTATAAACTTCTAACTTATCATTGACATTTTATCACGTGACCAATAAAGTCTAGAGCGTTTGTTTATTACATCTACATTCAGATCTAAGGTCCGTATTTATAAATAAAACTCAGCTGAGTCGAACTTGGGTAAGTCGTCCTTTAACGAAAATCGAAGTTCGGTTATATCGCGTTAATTTAGAGATGGGTAGTAACAAATCCATAAATGTACATAACAATTACAGATTTGCTAATACCCATCTCTAAATTCCAGTTTAACACCAGAACCATCTAGAACTTTAGAGACGTTGTAACCGAACTTCGATTTTAGTTCAAGGACGACTTACCCAAGTGCGACTCAGGTAAGTTCTGTTTATAAATACAGGCCTAATTATCTATCAATTTACAACATCTCAGATGCATCCTATGTGGATTCTCAAACGCGACATATGAAGACTAGAGATAAGTCTTCATAAATCAGACTTATGAAACGCGGGTTTTGCTTATCACTGTGGGTTTCACTCAATGAACTAAAGTGGGGTAGAAAGCCAATGTGTTTATTGTATCAATAAAACAAGATGCGACTCTAGGCGCAGCCATTTTTATTGTCTCATTTCACTTTGGATTATTTATAACCATTTTCTGTTTCACATTGTTATTGTTCAATCAATCGCTGGTGGATCAGATAATAACAATATGAAATAGAAAATGGTTATTATAAATACTCGTGTTGGCTTTTTTCATTTACAACACTCGCGGAGTGAGATGAAAAATAACCTGTCTGTGTCCATCAGAGTCGCATCCTTATCGTCTAAGGTCCGCATCTCAAACCACTGGGGTAGTATTCTCGAATCACGAATACCGACATTCGCATACGTGTTTTACAATGTGTCTCACTTTGTTGAACGAAAACCAAGTGAGATAAATCATAAATCTCGCATGCGAATCTATATTCGTGACTCGAGAATACTACCCCTGATCTGCTACAGATCAGTGTCTCAAATCTATTGACAAGCATTCTATCCCGCTTCAGTTCATTGGTTTCACTCCGTGGTTTCACCGGGCAAACTTTTCCTTCTTAATTGTTTTGCAGAACCGGTTTAGATATTAAAATCATTATAAGTATTTTCTTGTCATCAATATTTTACAGATTTATGTAGTCTATTATGTATCATGGAGTTGCTAGCTAGCAAGTGGCTTAGACCAAGATCAGTCGTTATGTTACCAATTTGAACAAATCAGAATTCTCTAAAGTAAAATCTGTAACAATTAGTGGTTACATCTCTTACGTAAGTTATTTACAACTCTTGCGGCCATATGCACCATTCAGGGCCGAGTTCACCGTTGTGTTAAACGAAGTTTAAATTACTAAACGAATATAAAAATGTAATTTTAATCTTCGCTTAGTAATTTGAACTTCGTTTAACATAACGGTGGAATCGGCCCCTCATTAAAGTTATTTACATCTCTTTTCACATTTATATTACATGTTATTGCAATCATGTGTTTCAGAGTGCTACTTCTAAAATACAAGAGTGGTCTAAAATGGTCTACATTTATGACCAAAATTGTTTAGGAATGATTCTACAGTTGTGTTAAACGAAGTTTAAAATGACATCTTTACATTAACAATGTCATTTTAATCTCCGTTTAACACATCAGTGGAATCGACCCTTAGATATCTTAATTTTTTACGTTACAACACAAATACAATGTTTCCAAAATACTTAACATAAGCTCGTGTCTTGTAGTAAAAATTAAGGTAATTGTTTATATTTACTAAATATTCTAAATTTGATTTTAAAGCACATTTGGGCCAGAACGATCCTGCTCAGTGCGCACTAGGAAAGGCAATTAGGCATTCCAAACAAATGAATTACCAGTGGGCAGGTTTGTTATATCTAAGGGTGGCGACATATGGTGTATTCTATGTACTTTACGTAAAATCATGAATAATGGATTACATTTAAATATTTTATGTCAAACACAATAAAAATAATATTTTAAAAACCCACCTATACATTTTTTCATAAATTGGCAGGCTTGGCGAGAATAAAAATAGTGTCCAAGTTGCAAGACTATGTCGCTACCCCTCTTAAATATACAAGAATTTCCCACTGGCACCTATTGTTTGACAGGTCGTTGGAATGCCTAATTTATTGCTGCGTTTGAGAATCCACATCGGATGCATCTGAGATGTAAAAAATCTTTGATCACGTGATTCAGTATACGTAAATGTAATGGGACAGATGTGTCCGATGTGAATAAAAAAACGCTCGAGATGTAAAAAATGCATCCGATGTGGATTCTCAAACGCAGCATATATAACTCTATTTCATTTGCTGCGTTTGAGAATCCACATCGGATGCATTTTTTACATCTCGAGCGTTTTTTTATCCACATCGGACACATCTGTCCCATTACATTTACGTATACTGAACCACGTGATCAAAGATTTTTTACATCTCAGATGCATCCGATGTGGATTCTCAAACGCAGCAATTGGAAGTTACAAGAACAAATGTCAATTTGTTGACATTGACAGTGACAACTAGAAGTAGGTTAAGTTAGAAAATGGAAAACTATTAAAAAACATAAAATAATACCGTTTATGTATAAAAAATATGTGAAATGAGCGAAGTTGATGTATTTATTAGTAACTATACGTTAGTAGATCCCGAAATTTACCAATTATGGGTAGACGGACACTCAGGTAATACACATTTATTCTTTTAAATAACCAACCTTGCAAAACTATTTATATTTTTTTAGCTAGTGAAGCTGTAACTATTTTAAATAATAAAGGATTGGGTCAGCAAACCGGAGCTTCAATAGAACTAATAGCTAGCGATGTATTAGACCATTACAGAACTTATTCTTTATTGGAAAAATTATTGGGTAATCCAAGTAAACTACAAGAACAATTTTTATTTCAAATTGATCCCCAAACTCGCCTGTTTCTAATTGAAAAGTAAGTTAATTTATCTTATATTAGAATACATTTATAAGTGTATTATTTTTAAAGGTATTATGAATTTGATGATGAGGTAATCAGGGAAGTGCTAGGCAAAAAATTGTCATCAAAAAACAGGAAAGATTTGGATGAAGTGGCGGAGAAAACTGGCAAACCATTAAAATCGTGTAGAAGACAATTCGATAATGTTAAAAGAATTTTCAAAGCTGTGGAAGAACTTCCTGGTATAACAACAGATAATATTAAAAATATATTTTATTTGCCTGATGAACTTGTTAAAAAATATACTTGCATAGCTTTTACGTCTTGTATGCGATTCGAAACGTCGAAGAAGAAAGTTCAGCACATGTCATTTAATAGTTTTAGAAGTTGTTGTGAAGCTATGATCGAAAATTGGACCTACAATCTTCCAGGTACTGAATATAATGATTTAGAAATGGATAGGGAATTCTTATTTGAATTGAGAGATTTAAAGATTCTTATGGATAGAGATCGTGAACATAAACAGTGAGTAGTAATTATAAAAAATATATAAAATATTAATTTTAAGATAAAAATAATTTTTAGTTTACTTCTGGTACATTTAAAACCAAAATTATTGCAAAAAAGTTATATAGATTTGGAATCAAACTTTAAACTGTACAATAGAGCGATATTGACTTTAGCAATGACTTTGCATAGATCGAGGGATATGAAAAACTTTTTTGTCGATCTTTCGCAGATAGTTGATTATTTTAAACAAGGTTTTTGGACGAAACATGATTTTGAGCAGTTCTTGTTAGCCTATGCTCAACTAGCTGGAGAAATTGATCCTTTGAGGTAAATTGACTGTCTAAATTTATACATAGATGTATTTTTATTGTTATACTTTTTTTTAGGAGCAGTTCCACTTTTAAATACAGTTGGGAAAAATTTATGAAAGTTATTACTAAATGTTTGTTGATTATGTACAGTTAATTTTATTAAAAAAAATAGCTAGTCTCTCTATATAGTTTTTATTTTTCATTTTATTTATTTAAAAGGTTCTGTTTGCAATTAATCCTTAACGACAACAAGTATTTTTACCGGTTTTGCAACCAATTTTAACAGAAATTCTCAAAGATGTTCAAAAAATCGCATATTATCCCACACATAATTATAAAATTCCCTTGGTTTATCCTGAGTCTGTTTTCATTTGAAATCAGTCTCTTATTAAAAAATCACATTTTGTTCTATAAAAAAGTGTTAAAATAAACCTAAACGTAAAAATTATTAAAATGAAAAAATATATTGTTAAAAAATCAGTCAAATACTACTTAAAACAAAATATTTAATTGCAGTTGTCAAGTGTCAGATTATAGAAAACTTTCTTCAAGTGACCACGGAATCAAATAACTTTGAATATGTAGGCCCAAGATTAACAAAATCAATTTGGCTTAGTCGAATGTACAAAAATCGAACCAGGTTCTGTTATTGTTATGGATAACGCTTCATACCACAACCGAAGCAGAATCGGATGATAAAAACGCACCTAATAAAACTATTGCGCCAAGATGTAGGCAACGCGTAATAAGGGTTCAAAATGGCGGAGTTTTCTATCTCCTTTTAAAAGGCACTCAGAAAGCTGCGTAGTGCGACCATTCTCCGTATAGTAAAAGAACATCAAAGTATGTGGTACAGTGTCATAAAGATAAATATGTTAGATTAGTGGTCGCCAACCTCTCAATGTGTTGAGCTACTTTGTTAATTTTAAAATAAACAGCGAGCTACCCACACGGAAGCCACGTAACGCAACGTAAATGAAATAATCCACAGTTAATCTATCATTATATGTATTTATTTTACTATTTAACTGATAATACATAGGTACTAATAATAAACTAATAACAAAATAACTAATATTACTAGTACGTACTTGTTCATAGCTACATTCCAACCTACCAAACGAAGGTGTTTGAAAAATAACTTTTATCCAGCCACAACGGCATGTCACGTAAGATTTAAATATAGTTAATAATAACAACAAAAAAGTAACGCACTATCATGAACATAAACATTGAAAAATAAAAAAGCACGTTCAATGAGAAGGCTGACACTCAGACTTATCGATAATTTGTTTAATGTTTGCAGTATAATTTAATACAGCCATTCGAATACAATTATCCAAATGTTCATCTGTAAGTCGATTGCGATATTTGTTCTTAATAAACTTCATATTGGAAAAAGAAGATTCACACAAATAGGTTGAACTGAATAATGCACAAAGCACATAGAGGTTCCACGTGAATGACCAAGGTCAAAACCGACAATTGACATTTTTTATGCTATTTGCTCCAAACTCTAGATGGGGCTACTGGTAAAATTCTGATTTCTTACTCCATTTTTAAGCTTTATGGGAGAAAAACTTAACCAAAGACTCCAAAGATGTGACGTGTATTTATTTATGTTTTTGGTTAATCTCATTTTTCCGTCTGATTTTAGTGATTTTTTGTTGGCTTTGGCTTTTGGTTTCTGTTTATAGTTTCGTCTTAGTTATAACCTACTGTGTTTTGCAATAATTTTGGTGCTACCTGTGGGTGCTACGTTGAAAACTTCGAGAAAAACTTCATTAATTCACCATGCATCTGCATCATAAAAAGAAACGGGTATAACAACTAATTGATAATCAATTTATCACTGGACTAGATTCCGAAATCATTTTTCACATAAGAGAGTAATACACAAAGCAGTGGAGTAATACCACCATCTGTATTTGGAAGGAAAATACCTATTTATCATTGAATGAATAGTTAAAAGGATTCACCTTTTAATACAATACCTATATTACATTTGTCCTCGGTTTAAAAGACATTTATAAAATATATTATTTTAGTGTTAATAAAATGTAATATCCTAGTCTCTACTTCACATTTAAATTATTGATAGGTATTTTAAAGATTTGAGATTATATACCTATTTGCTGCAAGTAAGTATTCGTTAAATATGTATTATTATTTGTATTTATTTTTATCTAATATTATTTAAGTTATTAATAAACATATTTTAAGAATGTTCTTTTTTATTGTTTATTGATATATCTTATATTTATTTAATAATAATATGCAGAACCAACTCTTCACATCAGACCCCTGCTTATAACAAATTAATTCCTCAAATTTGCGATAATCGACCTAAATTATTTTGTAAAATAAAAGTTTCGAACTTACTAGTTCCATTCTTTATTTTATAAAATAATTTATGTGGAAATCATTTAAAATTTAATTTAAAACTACTACCTACTCCTAACAATTACAATTTGAATTTACCGCCATCTGTCAATTGTCATTTTAGTTCCAGCTCCAAACACAAGGTGGCGCCAATTTGGTTTAAAAGTTTAACATTGGCGTGGGGTCTCTAGAAGATACGTGCTTTGTGGAATAATGCTTTCACTTTCAAGGCAACACGGCATAGAACTGAATATTTGTCTTTACTTACAATAGGCCAGATACATGTGGTACTTGAGACTAACGATTTTAAGGCTAAATCATTTTGAAACTCAATTACTTCCATTTCTGTTGCAGCGATGTCTTCGCCAAAGTTCTGCATAACACAAGTTGCAAACTGTTGGATATCAATTTCCATAAAGGGTGAAACAACAAACTGCGCTACTAAAGCCATTTCGTTGAAATCCTTAAAACGATTTTTGAAGTTATTCTTCAGGGTAGAAACTATTTCTACATGATATTTGCTGTCATATGGTTCTAATGGATTTTGAGATATTTTTTCTGAAAGAATAGGAAAATGCTTGGCATCGCTGTTAATTAGGTTTTGTTCCCAAAACTCCAGCTTTTTGATAAATGCTTTTATATCAGAAAGCATTTCCGCTAGTTCTTTGTCTCTCCCATGAAGCTGCAAATTAAGTTCGTTTAATTTCTCTGTAATGTCCACGAGAAAACCAAAATCTCTAAGCCAGATTGAATTTTCTAGTTCCGGAGTCCGTTCATTGCGTTGTTTGAAAAATTGAACTATGCCAGACAGGGCATCATTAAAACGTTTCAGCACCCGTCCTCTACTTAACCATCGGACTTCAGAGTGAAGGAGTAGGTCCCCGTATTGACAGTCAACTTCATCGGCCAAGGTTTTGAATAATCTTTGTAACGCTTGAGCTCTAATCTTGTTCACAATTTTTACCACCAGTTTCATAACGTTGTTTAGTTTCAGGAAATTTCCACATAATGCTTGCTGATGGATAATGCAGTGGTAACAGAGAAATTGCGGAAAAGTTTCATCTTTACGACATAACGCCACCAGACCCTTATCACAACCCACCATAGCTGGAGCGCCATCGGTTGGCAAGCCTACCATTTTCGATATTGGAATTTTCTCGGAAGAAATAATATTTTTTAAATGAGAAAACAACTTCTGTCCAGTAGTGTGTTCTTTCAGTGGAATAAACTTCAAAAGATCTTCTTTAATCGTAAAATAACTAAAAACCATCCTGACGAACACGGCCATCTGGGCAGTGTCAACGACATCTGTTGATTCATCCAGTTGAAGTGAAAAATAAACACAGTTATCTAAGTCAGTTCTTAACTGTAAAAAAATATCATTGCTCATTATTTATACCCGTCTCATCACTGTATTAGCAGAAAGTTGCATAGATTTTATAGCTGAAACTATCTCGTCTTTATTTCTAAAGTTGGCAAATAACGAATCAGCAGCTTCTAAAAACGCCTGTTTTATCATTTCCCCGTCTTCATAAGGTTTCTTTTTTTTGTGCAATTATCTGGGACACACGGTACGATGCTTCAGTTGCAGCCTTATTTTTTGGCGACTGTTCTTAAAAATATTGATTGTTGTCCAATTAACTGCTTTTTTTAACTGTTTCAGTTTCTCCTTTCTGGCGGCAGAATGTAGTGGGAATGATTTTTCAAAATTAGAATGTACAGTTTTGTGATGTCTCTCAATATTTCCTTTTTTAGCAACGGAGACCGAAGTATTACATAACAAAGACACATTTTTATCTTTAACTTCTGTAAAAAAGTATTGTTCTTCCCATTCCGATTGAAAGAGGTATGTCTTTACCTTTTTACAACTGCTTGCCATAATATTATTTTTTGTTGTTCTCTACTAGCCCAACCGCTGGACGTTGGTTACGCGTTCAGTTTTAAACTAAGCGCAATGTCGTCGCGCCGTGCGTATTTATCTCGTTCAAAGCAATCCTGATCGTTCTAGAACACTAACGCGCTGGTCCGGCTGGTCGGTTCTAGCCGATTCTAGCTTGATGGCGTCAGCGGCAGATCGCTCACCGCAACGTTGCCGCTATTTATGTTTAATATTATGACAATTAGATTTTTTGTGGAATTTTCGGAAGCTTCTCTGATTTTTGCAGTTTGTATTTTTTAAATTAAAATCGTTGTGAGAGCTACCAGAATTGCCTCCGCGAGCTACCGGTAGCTCGCGATCGACAGGTTGGCGACCACTGCTTTAGAACATTATCTTTTATAGCAAATATCTCATCAATTTTTTTCTGAATTAGCTCATGAACTTTACCAATAGCTTCATTGATTAGAATTAGCTGGTCACTATTATCTCTTATTGTATATTATGCTCAAAAAGTGAATGTATTTAACTATTTCTGCCGACTTGCAACCCCGTTCAAGTTTGGATAGAATTTGTGTCTGCGAACCCCTAAGAACGGCCCTGTGCACTACAATCTTTATTATATTGTAGGGCGCGAATTTTGAAACACTGCGTATAAAAGATTGCCTAAATATTTCTAATAACGCATTTAATTAAAAAACTAAATTTTAATCGTATAAAAGTTTATTTTATATGGATTAGTAGATGCACCTATCCATTAAACTAATTAATTACTTATCGCACCCATAAATTCCGATCACAAACGCAAAAAAAGCATCTAAGATTTTAGATGGAAGATGATTTAAAATACGGGTAATCTAGGAGATCAGATTTGTTTACATAAACGTTTATTCAAGGCTCCCTGATATCGCGATTAAAAATAAAGGCCCATTTTTGTATAAAATTTCGTCAAGGTCGAGCATATGATGAGTAATGTAAATATGACGTCACGGTCATTCCGATTTCCAATATGGCTGAATCTAAATAATCGGGGTTGGAGGATGGCATTTTTTATACTTTTTTAAAAGGAATTAAATACAATCTAAATACGAAAAACGAAACAAAAATTTCTAGCAGGTAAGCTGGCATGTTTGTAGTTGTTTTCGCTTCGAGTCGTCGATAAATAGTTCTGTTTTTTAATTACTTGTCAATAGTAAGTTGGTTGGTCTATTTTTAAATTTTCATTAATTTAAATAGTTGAATATACTTAATAAATTTGGTAGATTATCGATCGTGTAGTTAGTGAATTCGAGTAGTCGAAAATAACAATTGCAAGAGAAAAATAAATGTGCTTCTAGACTTTCTAAAAATAACTAGACTTTTCACTCGTTTTACGTTTTACTGTGACATATTTTAGAAAATAAGCTATTTTTACACCGCAGATCGTTTTCTTGCAATAAAAAACCACGCTTTTATCGAAAAAATTCAATCAAATTTATTCTGGTTTTAGTGAAATGAAATAAATTTAAATAAAAACAAATTGGTAAAACTTTAAAAATGCCTGTCTTAAGTCCTCATCGTAGTTCATCGTCTGGTCTAAGCGGATCCTACAGATCGGCATTAGATAGACCTTTTTATGGAAGTTCATCCTACAGCCCTAGATTTACAAGTAGTTATAGTGAAAGATTCACAACAAGGTCCTACACAGACACGGATGGTCGTCGAATATATTCCAGGTATGTCGATTACTTTCTATTCAAACATTTTTTAGCTTTTTAATGTGGAATTCGATATTTACATGCATTTTTTAAACATGTTTCATAGTATTAGAAGTTGATATATCACTTATTTAACATTACTTCGGTGTTTACTGTAATTTTGGGCACTTTCAGATTTAATCCCAGTTTTTATCACTTTTGGAGTGCCCCAAGGGTCTCACCTGGGACCCCTATTCTTTAATCTATAAATCAATGATATTTCTACATGTTTTAATTTTGCTAACTTCACTAAATATGTCATAAAATTTTTAGAAAATTTTGAAGCCATTTGTGACAATATTGTTTCTAAAGTGCATAGATTTGTATTAGTGGGTGATTTTAATTTAATATTAAGAATTTTTTCTCAAGCTATGGTATCCAACAAAAAGTTACTAAACCTATGCGAGTAACTATTGATAGGTCTCTAGTCAATTTTGTATTAACTAATGATACTCCGAAAATCAGTGATCATTCTGTGATTTCTGTAAATTTTTCCAATACAAGCAATACTTCAAACAGTTATAAAAAAGTATAGGAATTATAATGAAACTAACAATTTTAATATATAAAATGATCTGATTATGTGTAATTGGAATCTTAATACTATTAATTTTTAAAGTAATTTATCATGAGTTATATTCAAGTTGTGAAACAGTTATTAATAAGGTTGCCCCTATTCAGACATATAAGTATCCTAACGTACCATGGTTTGATAATAAGATTTACAATAAATTTAAAATCCAAGATAATGCTTAAAAGTCATGTACCTGAAGTTCTAAACTTTTTTTTTTAAATGATAATATAAAAAAAAATTTCAAGGATTGGCTAGCATCTCGCTAGAAATCATCACATAGCTTACCTGCGGTTACCAAAAGGTAGACAAAATTATATTTTGGTGACAAACCCGAAATTAACCACTACACTTAGATAAACTCACCCCGTAAAGATGTAGAAGCTACAAAGAAACATAATCAGGGGTAATATCGTCCTAGAAATTCCGAGAGAATCTTCCTCGTGCTAACCAAAGGCTAGAAAAAAATCATTATCGACATAGGGCCACGGGAACCACCCCTTTATTTAAATAAACACCCTTTAAAACCTTAAAAAAATTCAAAAAAATTCAAACAAACCTAGTATTGACCTGAAAATTCGTAGCAATGCCTCTCGTGGTTCCTTGAAGCTAGAAAAAAATCATCATCGACATAGGGCCACGGGACCACCCCTTTACTTGAATAAACACACCCTCTAAAACCTTAAAAAATTCAAATAAATTCAAACATGCCTAGTATCGACCTGAAAATTTATAATAATCTATCTCGTGGTACCTTCAAGCTATAAAAAAATCATCATCGACATAGGGCCACGGGAACCACCCCTTTACTTGAATAAACACACCCTCTAAAACCTTAAAAAATTCAAATAAATTCAAACAAGCCTAGTATCGACCTGAAAATTTATAATAATCTCTCTCGTGGTACCTTCAAGCTTGAAAAAAATCATCATCGACATAGGGCCACGGGAACCACCCCTTTATTTAAATAAACACCCTTTAAAACCTTAAAAATTCAAATAAATTCTAACAAGCCTAGTATCGACCTGAAAATTTATAATAATCTCTCTCGTGGTACCTTGAAGCTATAAAAAAAACATCATCGACATAGGGCCACGGGACCACCCCTTTACTTGAATAAACACACCCTCTAAAACCTTAAAAAATTCAAATAAATTCAAACATGCCTAGTATCGACCTGAAAATTTATAATAATCTATCTCGTGGTACCTTCAAGCTATAAAAAAATCATCATCGACATAGGGCCACGGGAACCACCCCTTTACTTGAATAAACACACCCTCTAAAACCTTAAAAAAATCAAATAAATTCCACCAAGCCTAGTATCGACCTGAAAATTTATAATAATCTCTCTCGTGGTACCTTCAAGCTTGAAAAAAATCATCATCGACATAGGGCCACGGGAACCACCCCTTTACTTGAATAAACACACCCTCTAAAACCTTAAAAAAATCAAATAAATTCAAACAAGCCTAGTATCGACCTGAAAATTTATAATAATCTCTCTCGTGGTACCTTCAAGCTTGAAAAAAATCATCATCGACATAGGGCCACGGGAATCACCCCTTTAATTAAATAAACACACCCTTTAAAACCTTAAAAAATTCAAAAAAATTCAAACAAGCCTAGTATCGACCTGAAAATTCGTAGCAATGCCTCTCGTGGTTCCTTGAAGCTAGAAAAAAATCATCATCGACATAGGGCCACTGGAACCACCCCTTTATTTACATAAACACCCTTTAACACCTTAAAAAATTCAAAAAAATTCAAACAAGCCTAGTATCGACCTGAAAATTTATAATAATTTCTCTCTTGACACCTTCAAGCTAGAAAAAATCATCCTCAACATAGGACCACGGGAACCAGCCCTTTACTTGAATAAACACACCCTCTAAAACCTTAGACAATTCAAAAAAATTCAAACAAGTCTAGTATCGACCTGAAAATTTATAATAATCTCTCTCGTGGTACCTTCAAGTTTGAAAAAATCATCATCGACATAGGGCCACGGGAATCACCCCTTTAATTAAATAAACACACCCTTTAAAACCTTAAAAAATTCAAAAAAATTCAAACAAGCCTAGTATCGACCTGAAAATTCGTAGCAATGCCTCTCGTGGTTCCTTGAAGCTAGAAAAAAATCATCATCGACATAGGGCCACGGGAACCACCCCTTTATTGAAATAAACACACCCCTCAGAATCTAAAAAAATTCAAACAAGCCTAGTATCGACCTGAAAATTTATAATAATCTCTCTCGTGGTACCTTCAAGCTTGAAAAAAATCATCATCGACATAGGGCCACGGGAATCACCCCTTTAATTAAATAAACACACCCTTTAAAACCTTAAAAAATTCAAAAAAATTCAAACAAGCCTAGTATCGACCTGAAAATTCGTAGCAATGCCTCTCGTGGTTCCTTGAAGCTAGAAAAAATCATCATCGACATAGGGCCACTGGAACCACCCCTTTATTTACATAAACACCCTTTAAAACCTTAAAAAATTCAAAAAAATTCAAACAAGCCTAGTATCGACCTGAAAATTTATAATAATCTCTCTCGTGGTACCTTCAAGCTTGAAAAAAATCATCATCGACATAGGGCCACGGGAACCACCCCTTTAATTAAATAAACACACCCTTTAAAACCTTAAAAAATTCAAAAAAAATCTAATAAGCCTAGTATCGACCTGAAAATTCGTAGCAATGCCTCTAGTGGTTCCTTGAAGCTAGAAAAAAATCATCATCGACATAGGGCCACGGGAACCACCCCTTTATTGAAATAAACACACCCCTCAGAATCTAAAAAAATTCAAACAAGCCTAGTATCGACCTGAAAATTTATAATAATCTCTCTCGTGGTACCTTCAAGCTTGAAAAAAATCATCATCGACATAGGGCCACGGGAACCACCCCTTTACTTGAATAAACACACCCTCTAAAACCTTAAAAAATTCAAATAAATTCAAACAAGCCTAGTATCGACCTGAAAATTTATAATAATCTCTCTCGTGGTACCTTCAAGCTTGAAAAAAATCATCATCGACATAGGGCCACGGGAACCACCCCTTTAATTAAATAAACACACCCTTTAAAACCTTAAAAAATTCAAAAAAAATCTAATAAGCCTAGTATCGACCTGAAAATTCGTAGCAATGCCTCTCGTGGTTCCTTGAAGCTAGAAAAAAATCATCATCGACATAGGGCCACGGGAACCACCCCTTTATTGAAATAAACACACCCCTCAGAATCTAAAAAAATTCAAACAAGCCTAGTATCGACCTGAAAATTTATAATAATCTCTCTCGTGGTACCTTCAAGCTTGAAAAAAATCATCATCGACATAGGGCCACGGGAATCACCCCTTTAATTAAATAAACACACCCTTTAAAACCTTAAAAAATTCAAAAAAATTCAAACAAGCCTAGTATCGACCTGAAAATTCGTAGCAATGCCTCTCGTGGTTCCTTGAAGCTAGAAAAAATCATCATCGACATAGGGCCACTGGAACCACCCCTTTATTTACATAAACACCCTTTAAAACCTTAAAAAATTCAAAAAAATTCAAACAAGCCTAGTATCGACCTGAAAATTTATAATAATCTCTCTCGTGGTACCTTCAAGCTTGAAAAAAATCATCATCGACATAGGGCCACGGGAACCACCCCTTTAATTAAATAAACACACCCTTTAAAACCTTAAAAAATTCAAAAAAAATCTAATAAGCCTAGTATCGACCTGAAAATTCGTAGCAATGCCTCTCGTGGTTCCTTGAAGCTAGAAAAAAATCATCATCGACATAGGGCCACGGGAACCACCCCTTTATTGAAATAAACACACCCCTCAGAATCTAAAAAAATTCAAACAAGCCTAGTATCGACCTGAAAATTTATAATAATCTCTCTCGTGGTACCTTCAAGCTTGAAAAAAATCATCATCGACATAGGGCCACGGGAACCACCCCTTTACTTGAATAAACACACCCTCTAAAACCTTAAAAAATTCAAATAAATTCAAACAAGCCTAGTATCGACCTGAAAATTTATAATAATCTCTCTCGTGGTACCTTCAAGCTTGAAAAAAATCATCATCGACATAGGGCCACGGGAATCACCCCTTTAATTAAATAAACACACCCTTTAAAACCTTAAAAAATTCAAATAAATTCAAACAAGCCTAGTATCGACATGAAAATTTATAATAATCTCTCTCGTGGTACCTTGAAGCTATAAAAAAATCATCATCGACGTAGGGCAACGGGAACCACCCCTTTATTTAAATAAACACCCTTCAAAACCTTAAAAAATTAAAAAAAAAATCACTATCTCAATATGGTATCGACAATCGCCATGTCTTGTACAAATAGTACATTTCTGTCTAAAACATTGGGAAATTACCAGTTATTAAA